TCTCTTTTTTTTTTTTTTTTTTTTTTTTTTTTTTTTTTTTCATGGAGAGTATTGCCTGTTGAAACAACTACCTAAAATCAAAACCCAATCATTAACGCGAACTTCACAGTTTCTAAATCAGCATGTAGCTTAATTAGTGCTGTTGTAAGTGAATGTAAAATTTGACTTAAATGCACAGAAATGCTCTGATTGATAACACAATCTCCCTTTCGGCATATTTATATCCATGTATTTTATATGTATTTTTGGAGAAAATCAAGCTAAATATTTTCCCCATTTGGTCCTCTAACCTCAGTTGTGCTATTTTCTAACACCATTTACAAAGGTAATTATGTTTTCCTCCATCGATTTCAAGCGGCCAGAATCTGGTCCTAATATTTTATCCACCTTTACATGATGGAAACATGATTTTTGGGAAAAATGTACCTTTCCATGGGTATCTAATGGAATGTTAAAGATTTGAATGCACCGCTTAAGCTCGTGTCATTGCCGGTGAGTCTGAAATATATATTATGGGTGACATGATTACAGCTCCTTCATTTCTAATGCGCGATTCATGTGATTAGATCTCGCAGAATCGCATCATTAGGCTAAATGTGGTGTAAACTGTAGTGGAGATTGAAACAGCACTGTTGTACCTGCTATTTTCCTATGGTTATTCTTAAGCTGTTACCAAATACAATATACTGATCGGTAAATATTCTGTAACAGTTATGTGAAACGTTAACTATGTCATAGGAAAGAATTGACTGTAAAATTACGATATTGCTGCCTGTTTCCACTAATTACAGAAGAAAAACCTGTCATATCACAACGAAATTTGAATGCATGGGTGAAAGTATTGGTGTGCTGTTGAATGTTGAAGGTAAACTTATCTGATTTATGTTATTCAGTTATACAAGTTTCTTTAACATCTGTCAAATGAAGAAGTTGAGTTGCATTTTTTTTTTTTTTGGGGGGGGGGGTAAATGGATTTGTTTTTGTACTCTGGGTGTTTGTAATTGAACATTTGAATAAAGGCAATATGAATATAGAAATGTGTTGATTTTGTCTTTTGTCTATATATATATATATCTATATCTATATGCAATCGAGGCATGCGATTAAACTGAGTGATGAGTGATGAATGGTAACCATTCATCACTCAGTTTAATCGCATGCCTCGATTGCATGGGCACAAGTGATGCATTAACTCCAGTCGCGGAAAAATACGCACGTGACTAGTTTGTCCCTCTTTACACACCGTAGCTACGTACAAGTATGGCGGTCTGAGAGTTCTGAAAACTGTTTTGATGGTGTAAATAATACAATTTCTCAATTTCCAAAACACCATTTCATCAGAATTCGTTCTTCTCTGAACCAATAACCGCATCGCGTCTCAGGTAAGGTATAGATACAGTGTCTTAAGGGGTACTGATGTCCAAAATAAGGGCACGTGGGTAGTGGCTAGATAATGAGGCTAGCCAAGCTAATAGCTAGCCTGCTCATGTAACCCAACATAATTAAACTATAGCTTGCTAGGTATCTGTCAAATTATACATGTTCACAGTTTATCACTTGTATTGTTCAACATTCATGCGTGCTGTTAGGTCAGAGGTGAAAGTTGTGCGTAATTTAATAAAATACTCACGTTACATATGTTACAGAAGCTACAGTGTCATATGGTTTTCGGTTATTTTATTTTTAAAATGTCAACGCAAAGTACAAGAAAGCACAAACGTTACAGGTTTAACGTCACAGCAATTTGCAGGCTTGACCTGCTTGCTTGTTTTTTTTTCCTGTCACTCATGTAGCTTCTGGCATATCCTCAATGAAAGAGGAATTAAATTGAAATATGAAACACATTTTGCACTGTTGAGAAAGCCAGGAGAATGATAAACCGTAACAATATCAACATCTGTCGAACATGTATTTCTATATGAAATAGCCTAATCAACTCAGGTGTGTCAGAAGAAACAGGTGCTCTGCTCTAATCATGAGGATGTCATATTCATTGATCAACGTAATGAATTCTCTACAGTTTGTTTTCAAAAATGGAACACCAAATGAATTCAACATGTCTTTCCTTACCGACATTATGACATCGCCACCGTAGACAACATTTACTAAAGATGTACAGGAAAGAAGCAGCACACTACCTATAGTTAACTTTCATGTTTTAATCACCAGTGTGACGTACTCCAGGTGTGTATCTGGAGCGATTTCTTTTTTTTTGAAACAATGAACAATTGATTAACTGAGAAAATGATCAACAGATTCATCAAAAACAAAATACTATTTTTTTTATAGCGGTACTCTGCTGGGATACTACTTATTTTTGGTTTTGTTTTATTACATTTTATTTGATTAGACACTGTATAGACGATGTGTAGAATAATGCTGTGCTGACATGGCTCTGTCTCATTTTCAGACCATCATGCCGTCCGCCTGTGACTCTCTGATTGACGACATTGAGGACATGGTGTCCTCTAGCGACCCGACTCCTCACGAGAGACAGTCTGCTAGAAAGAGCATCATGCCAAGGTCCAGGAAGAAGAAAGAGCCTTTGAGCCACGAGGAGCTCCACACTGACAGGTATGTCAAATGTTCAGCAGTAATTCAGGATGAGAGTTTATTGTGATATCGCTAGTATTCAGTAGGTTTTAGGCTGATTCAAATAACTGCAAGTATTAATCCCAACCATTAATGATTTTTAACAGTTTGATTTTAGTCCGTGAAGTCAAAGAAGTATAAAAGTAAAATGCAGAATTGGAATTGTTTTTATAATTGAGCTGTTTGCAGCTTTTTGTAATATCTTTTGATTTGGAGAAGAATAACTTTGCTTAGTTCTGGTCCCTGTGTTGATGCAGATTATCATTCTGCATCATCGGGGCTACATGGGTCTGTTGGGGAAAACAAAAATCTGGTGACAGCCAGAAAGTCTTACAGTATTTTATTGCTCCTTGTTTATACTTAACTTTTCTGGTGGCTCACAGACCTCATAAAGAAATACTTGATTGAATTGTGAGCTTTGTTAGTTTAGATTGCCACTGATCCTCATACGTCATGAATAATGATGGACAAGTAAAAATAGGAGAGCTGTCTTATGGTAATATTACAAAGGTTGTACATTTCACTCACTTTTTTTATCAGTGAAATGCTAAATTATGCTTACGTTCTTTTTTTTGTTTTTGTCACGTATTTTTCATGTGTCATGGAACCCCCCTCCCCCCCATATCATTTGATATCATAACTATTGTTGCTAAATTGTGTGATTTGTCCACTTTGCTTTCATACTACAAAGGACCACAGCAGAGCCTGCTTGTAATTCGTCTCGCTTTCCCACCTGCCTGAATCAAACAGTTTAGGTGTGAAAGCACCTTAACAGTCTGTCCCACGACACACAACTTAGGTCTTTAGTCTTCATCAGTTTTACGAAATAACATTAGTTCTAGCTATTCCTTTTTAAAGAAAATTCCACACATCATGTAACAATAACACATTTCATTGTTGTTCATTTTTAGTTTGATCCCTGGCACCCAAAAAATCTGGATGAAAACGTGGGGCTGCAGTCACAACAACTCAGATGGAGAGTACATGGCCGGACAGCTAGCTGCCAGCGGATACAAGATGACCGGTGAGAGATTATTCATTTGTGGTTTGTGTCGAGTCTATTGACTGATTGTCAGTGAATAACAATACAAATATCAACCGTACTAGAATACTCCTACTTATATATTGTAGATGGATGTGATTTATTTTAGACCAGTGGAATGAAAGTAAATGAACAGCTGAAATGGTAAAAAATATATTTTTTAATACCATTCTGTAGAACTGATGTCATTAATATCTTTAGACACAAGGGGGCAGTCTTGCTTTGTAAGTAAGCTGTAGCTTGTGTTATTGGAGTGGGATGCTTTGTTTTGCTCTGAATTGAGTTTCTTAGGCAGCGTGCTGTTCAACAAACTTAACCAAGCAAATGTATTTAGGTAAACATAATTAAAGGTATAATATGCACCATTTTGCTTAAAAGCAATGTATAGAATCATACAAAAAATCCTCAACCATCACTTCTGACCTGCTAGTTACCGTCCAGCGCGCTAGTGAGGATGGGACTTTATCAAAACGTAACAACCAGGTTACATCGCCATCTTCGTCTCTCTCCTCTCTGTCTGTGTCATGGATGTATAAAGATCTGCAACACACACACACACACACACACACACACACACACACACAGAGGCAGGATTTGGAACATGTTTTGAGTCTGCCAATCATATGAACCAGTTGGAACTTGTCCCCAACTTAAGAGGAAAGTATGCAAGCGAGGCTCAACTTAGGCCCAAGAAGTCCACTGAGAGCCAGCCTTACCTGGTATCATTCCCAGAGCTTAAGGGAGGAGTAGATTGGTGAAGTTTGACAGCCTATTACGCTTTAAATAGAATATGACTTGTATAGGTGCTTGGAATTTCTTTGTCAATTGTTGGTAAAGTTGGAAAATCTGTGTTATCACTGGTCAAATGTGTCTGCGTCACTTTCAAGTGTCATTTATATTTTGTCTTTGGTGCTTTGCGATTAAGGATGCAGAGTTCAAATATATTTGCTAATACCTGTTGACTGGGAATTTACATTCAATCCGACACTGACATTGCTGTGGTTAAGATTTGGTTAGGTTAAGGCAGAAACACGACTTGGTTGAGGATGGTTTGGATTATAATTTCTAATTTATTAAGGTAAGGAGATGTTCTTCATCATGGTTAGGTCCAGGTATCGACTGACCAACCAGATAGTGCTGTGGGCAGGGCATCAGGTGAGACGAGAGTTGTGACCACAGACCGAGACTATTCAATTAATTAATTAATTCATAGAAATTACACAATTGCTGTGTGTGTGTGTGTGTGTGCTAAAAAAGGGAGTTAATATTAACCCCTCAGGCATTTCTCTCACCATGGGTTCTCCCCAGCTATAGAGGGACATTAATCACACACTTCAAAAATGCAGATCAGTCACTAACACACACACACACACACACACAAGACATAATTTACTCATGAACACAGGCCAACAGCCCCCCCAGCCCCTCATCTGGTAGACCCTTGATCTCCATCTTTTCCACCCTTCTTGTTTTCTCTTGAGAGCATTGGTAGCCGGGTGGTTGATTCCAGCTTTGGGACCATCGTTGCATGTCAAACCTCTCCCTCTCCCCCATTGCCAGTTTCTGTCTATCAAATAAAGGCAAAACAGAGTTTCTATCAGTCGTCTTCTCAGATGTCTTGTAATGTAACTAATAGCATGTTCTACAGATGTCATTAGTGGGAAAAAGTGAATTGAAATACTCTATACAAATACATTGAAAAAACGACTTCATTTCCTTACATTTCATCCTTTTCCAACACAGCGTTCAGGCACGCGTGTCCATCAAAGCCAGCTGGCAATATACAACTATATTAAAACATCGGGATAGGAGACTAATGATGACCTCATCAGCTTTCCTTTTTCCATATGATTGATCGCGAGATGTTTTGTTTTATTGAGTGATATTTTTTTTCTTCTTTTGCTGTGGTGGCAGAAACACTGTGCCACATAATCATTTTGAAAGTGCAATAACTGGTGTTATTTCATCACTCACTCAGTCCGTCAATCAATGACAAACTTTTGCGTGTATAGGGCTGC